AGTTTGAGCCCTGTGCTGGGCATGGTGCCTGCTTGGATTTTTAAAAAATTTTGGAATAAAGACTTTCTCTCTTACACCAGGAACATTCTGAGGTATTGGGGATTAGGAATTCAACATATGAATTTTGGGGACACAATCCAGCCTATAATAATATACGAATTCATGGGCAGTGGCAAATGGGTGATCCAGTCTATCTCCATCAGCAGTTAATCACAGCCCCCAGATTGTGTAACATGGGAGGCGAAGCTCCACCTAGTGAACTCATGGAATCACAAGAAGTAATAAAATGATGGCTACCAATTTAATCAAAATTTTAAGGGATATGGATACACAGTGCAACCTGCACATTTCAATCATATGGTCTAAAGAATTTTTATGAGTAAATACACTATGTAATAATACCTCAATCAAGATATAGAAAAACAGCATTAAATACTCCAAATCTCTCATACCCCTTTGGAGCTAATCATTCTCTTATGTCAGCTTCAAACATTGACCTAATCTCTCTCTCTCTCGACCTAATATCTCTAACTATAGATCAATTTTGTATATTTTAGAATTTAATATAAATAGAATACTACAGAGTAATATCTGTGACAAATGGTTTCTTCCCCTCAGGACAACACTTATAAAATTCATCCATGTTGTTGCCTATAATAGCAGTTCTTTCCCTTTCTTGGTGGTTACTATTACATTGTATGAATGAACTAAAATTTATTATTCAATTACTGATGGAAAATGTTTATTCCCCAGGATCTTGGCCATTATGGATAAAGCCTTTATATACACTCATTACAAGTCTGTTTCTAAACAAGTTATGTTTTCATTTTTTATATAAATAATGAGGCACCTGGGTGGCCCAGAGGGTGAAGCCTCTACTTTCGGCTCAGGTCGTGATCTCAGGGTCCTGGGATTGAGCCCTGCGTCAGGCTCTCTGCTCAGTGGGGAGCCTGCTTCCCCCTCTCTCTCTGCCTGCCTCTCTGCCTACTTGTGATTTCTCTGTCGAATAAATAAATAAAATCTTTAAAGAAATTTATATAAATACTAAGACTGTAATCTGTTGATATGATAATTGTGTCATTAACTTCATAAGAAATTACTGTATGTTTTCTAAATTGGTTGCAATATCTTGTACTCTCAAGAGCAAATTGGAAGACTTCCAGTTACTTCAAATCCCTGCCAACACTTGGTATTGTCAGTCTTTTCAATTTTAGCCACTGTAGTGAATATGAAATGGTTTTATAGAGGTTCTATTTACGTTTTCCAAATAATAAGTATTTTTAAGGACTTTTGGCCATTCATGTATCATGTTTTATGCAGTGTCTATTCAGATATTTTGCTCATTTGTAGTTATTTTTCCTTTTGAATAGTAAAAGATTTTTTCCCCTTTTATTATATTCTGGATATAGACTGTTTTTCAGATATATATGTTTTGCATTTAACTCCCTTTGCTGGGGCTTATTCTCTCTCTCTCTTTTTTTTTTTGGAATTACAGCTTTTGAAGAATTAAAGTTTTAAATTTTAACGAGGCACAATTTATCAGTTTGTCTTCTATAGTTTTTGCTTTTTGTGCCCTATGTAAGAAACTATTGCCTATGCAACTGATAAATTTCATTTCATTTAGGTTCTCAGAGCATAAAGCTAGGACACGTATGTTACCTATATATACACAATTGCATATAAACATGTTTGTAATTGTGTGTGTGTGTGTGTGTGTGTGTGGCCTTACAGCCACAAAACATTCCTGTATCCATTTGGATCCCTAAGTCTGCGCCAGGTATGCCATCTGTTCTGCAGTGTTCTTTTTCCATAATTCTCTTCTGATTCCAAGGTCATGGCTGGATTCCAGGGAAGGTGAGATCACACACCATTGGTGCATGGATTCTGCAGTCTCCTCTATGCCTACTAACCACAACTATGTCTGCTTAGATTCTTGATTCTCTGCCAGGAGTTCTATGTTCTTCTGAGAGTTTTAAATGGGAAGACCTGTTCATTGGAAGGTTGAAATTGGGGGTCTGGATAAATTAGGTTGGGAATGTAGATGTATAAATATCAGGCAGTGCCTTTATTCCTGACACTGCAGGCAAGCCCACTCTGATTTCCAAGTCTGTGCCACAAGCACCATCTCTCTCTCTCCCTTTTTTTTTTTAAAGATTTTATTTATTTGACAGAGAGAGATCACAAGTAGAGAGAGAGAGAAAGAGAGAGAGAGAGAGAGGAGGACGCAGGCTCCCTGCCTAGCAGAGAGCCTGATGTGGGACTCGATCCCAAGACCCCGAGATCATGACCCAAGCTGAAGGCAGAGGCTTAATCCACTGAGCCACCCAGGCAGCCCTGCACCATCTCTTTTTTAAGGCTTTCTCTCCCAGGATGTACCCAGGTGTGCTTGGGAAACTTTGGGGGTCTTAGGATAGAAAATAAGTGCATCTGAGTTTGAATGAGTGGGTTAAGTAAATACTCCATAAACCTGGTACTCTAGTTTATAAACTTACTTTACAGGGTGTACCCCTGTACAATGTTAACAATTCTGAAACTACTTTACATGTAAACTAGGGTTGGACAAATAAATAAATAATATAAAATGAGAGTCTATTGTCAGGGAAAAAAACATACAAATACTCAAGAGTTGAGGGCTATAATGAGCCCTGTATTACTCTGCAGTTGTTATTAGTATGAAACTCTTGTTTATTTTAAAATACATTGAAATAGGGTAATAGTTACAACCACGTGGATATACATAAATTAGGATGCGTATATTTATTTCCTGGCTCTGTCTACTGAGAAGGCCTGGAAGCAGCGACATCCCAGTGGCAATGAGTAAACCGGAGCCCAGACATGGTTTTCTAAGTTCCATCGTCCAACTGAGAAACAACGGGGACATGGCCAACCAAGTATACCAAGGGAAAATAGTGCCTTTTTAGTTGAGAAAGGTGACAGACAACACCTTAACCAACTGACCATTGTAAGCACTACCAATGATACAATGTCAATGCTATACACCTGTGAGACAGATCAATTAGAAAAGTACCTTCTCTTTGTGGTATTCTTCTCCAATATTGACAGCCCCAGTCTAATCGTGAAAATACATCAGACAAATCCAAACTGAGGGATAGTTTCCAGAAAACCAGTACCCTGTAAAATTGCCAGGTCATCAAAAATGAGGTTAAATTAAGAAGTTGTCACAGGAGCACCTGGGTTGCTTAGATGGTTAAGCGCCTGCCTCCGGCTCAAGTCATGATCTCCAGGTCCTGGGATCAAGCCCCATGCTGGGCTCCCAGCTCACCGGGGAGTCTGCTTCTTTCTCTCTCTCTGCCTCTCCCCCTGCTTATGCTCTCTCTATCTCTGTCTCTCTCTCATGTGAATTAATAAAATCTTAAAAAAAAAAAAAAAAGCTGTCGCAGACCAGGAACATCTGGGTGGTACAGTCAGTTGGGCATCCAACTCTTGGTTTTGGCTTAGGTCCTAGACTGAAGGGTCTAAGACTGAGGGTCCTAAGACTGAGCTCTCCATCACGCTCTGTGCTCCACACAGAGTTGGCTTGAGATTCTCTATACCACTTCCTCTGCCCCTTCCTCTGTGCTCTATCTCTGAAACAAATAAATAAATCTTAAAAAAAAAAAAAGATGTCACAGACCAGAGCAATTTCTGCAATATCCTGGATTAGATTCTGGCAGAAAAAAAGGGGAAAAGTTGTAGAAATCTGAATGAGTGTCATTTACTTAATATTATTGTACTCACATTAAAATTTCTTAGCATTAACAAATGTACCAGTGTTGCATAAGATGTCATCATTAGAGCAAACCAGGTAAAGGTGTATGTGAATACTTTGTACCATTTTGGTACCTTTTTTTTTAAATTTTTGTAAATCCAAAATGGTTCCAAAGTTTAAAACAATTAAGTAAAATAAAATTACATAATCAAATTAAAAAATAAAACAGAGAAGACACTCTTTCTGGGAGGACTCTGAGTAACTTGTAATTAATAAATTATGTTCAAAGGAAAACTTCAACCAATTCCCCCATTCATTGTTCAGACCTAATTTTTTTAAAAGACTTTATTTCTTTGAAAGAGAGAGAGAGCATGAGCTAGGGGACAGGCAGAGGGAGAGGGACAAGTAGACACCCCAGTAAGCAGGGAGCCAACTCAGGGTCTGATCCCAAGACCCCAGAATCAAGACCTGAGTAGAACACAGATGCTTAACCGACTGAGCCATCTAGGCTCCCCTGCTCAGACCTAATTTTTACCATAAAGCTGTAAATCCTCCATATTATCAATGTATGTCTGCATCTTCTATTTTTAGAGTGTTTATGGTACTTTGTTTTATTTAGGGGAAGATGTTTTATTTTAAAGTAGTGGAATTTATCAATTTTCCTTCATATTTTGTACCTTTTATGATTTGAAGTCCTAAAAATATTCCCTTCTGTTCTTATAAAAGTTTCAAAGTTTTCCATTTTATTTTCAGAACTTTAATATGACAAGGAATGATTTTTATGTTTGCAAGAGAGTCTTGATTCTGAGGGAACAAGGAACATCCTTTCTCCTGTGATTCTTGGCTCTGCAAATCATCTGGGGGAAGGTTAAGGATACGTTAAAGGAGTCTGGATCTAGCCCTTTGTTTGGGCCCCAGGCTCTTGCTCTGACAGGATGAGGAAATGTCAGAAACTGGAGAATGAGAAAGATTTGGGTCTGGCATGAAGTTTCTGAAGGAGTAAGAAAGAGAACGTGATGGAAGAACTGAGAAGATAAAGGGTATTTGTCACTAGGGTGGGGTTTATAAACTCGGGCTTTATTTTTGTTAATTTTATTGATGCATATGCTACTTACAGAAGTGTACAATTCGAAGGAGGTGTAGAAAACGAACTCCGTTCTGTTAACATCAGCCAGGTGAGGAAACAATACTAAAACCCTACTATGTCATTTTGGTCTGAGTAGAGAAGCCACTGGAGTTGGGGTTTGGTATTGATAGTTCTTCTGGATAGCGGTCCATTCGCAATTCCCAGTCATGGAGGGGACACACATGGAGTACTGGGAATGGTTTCCTTCCCATATTTTGTGGTCACAGTCCTTCTGTTTCCACACACACTCTCTGAAGTCAGGTTGAGGACAGTCACGCCGGCAGATGAGACAGGGCTGAATCTAAGGGTGCAGGGAGATAGCGGACTGCCCACCTCTTGTCTATACCCCCCATCCTGGACAGAGAGGGACAACAAGGGTCTGGGCACAAGGAGAAGCTAAAGGAAACAAGGATGGGGGCGAGGACAGGAAGGAAACGGTCGGAAGAGGCTGGGCCAGGGCATGGAAGGAAGATGGAGCAGGAATCATCCAGAAAGGGAGTCAGAAAGGGAGACTGCAAGGGATAAAGATCTGAGAACAGGAAAAGGGACAATGGCAGTGCCTGGGCTGCAGAGAAAAATCACTTTAGGTGGCTACTCACTTCACATTCGCATCCTGCTCTGTACGCTGCCTCGAAACCCAGCTTCTGCTCTCTGGTGAGCTGGTACCAGAAATAGACCAGATGGCACCTTGTGAAGAACACTGTCCCTGACCTCAGAAAGCCTGCAGTGATGGGCGAGCGTGGCCCGAGTTAGCACAGCAGGTTTGGCGTCCTCTGCGAAATTAGCCCAGAGGGTCTGAAACCCGAGTCAGCCATGAATGAGGGTCCAGCATTTCCCCAGGGAGAAGGGGCCTGTGGTCTTTGGTGCGCTAGCTGCAGAAGTCAGCAGGTTTCTTCAGGGGGAGGCAGCAAGGTCGAGGGGCTGTATGCGGACAGGGACGCTCATCTGCAATAAGTAACAGTGACTGCTGGCAGGTTCTCAAACCATAACCACAGTCCACCCAATTGATGGGTGTGTAGATCTCACGGATTCTTGGGGTGCCCCGGGGAGCCTTGAGTACCTGTGATGGGAGAGAAAGAGTAGCTACGGCCTTAGGCTTTCATAGAAGCTGCAAGGCTCCAGAGACCACCCAACTCAGCAAGAGAAGATTGGGCAGTCTTGCTTATTTTGATGGAAGGAGGTAAGAAGAAAGGAGGTACAGAGTTTACCTTAGTGACATTCACTCTGAAACCTCGTTTTGTCCTGGTGTTCTTCCTGGTCCTAGTATATCAGCCAGTATGACTGGGAAAAGGAAGATATGGGTCAGAGGCCCACGGGTTCACTGATTTAGGATTTCCCCATCCAAAGTCTCATGGAGACATTGCTCAGATCACCAGAGCTCCCAGAGGGTGAGACCTCCTTGACGGAGACTTCTCTGGTGTCTCCCTAGACTCACCAACGTCCGATGTGCAGTAATACGTCTGAGGGTGCTGAATTTTACAATTACAAGCACTGCAAGGTGTTGATAGGGCCAGGAGCAAAAGAAAGGCCAGGAGGAATGAAGGATCCATGGTGGGTCCTAGGGGACATAGGGCATGAATTGCAGCATGAACTTCTTCTAATCTACCCCCCCCATCCACTTCTAGACAGAAACTCAGATGCTCATGGATGGCTGTCTACATCCCTTCATGGTGAAGGACCAGAGAAAGTTTGGGTCCAGTTCCCATGATCCTGTGGACCAGATGCATGAAGTCTCTGCCCTGCATCTGAAATGCCTTACCTCTGGCAGTCTGAGCCAACAGGTACCGCAGCTTCTGCAGCACACGTAGTGCCAGGAAGGATAAATAGTCATCTGTCCGCACTGTCTTTTCACCCTGTGGCATACCCACCAGGGAGGTACAATTTGATTACTGGGTGTACTAGTTAGTTAGAATCCGTTTTCTCTCAACTGCATTTCCTTTCATCCTTCAGGCATACCCACCAGGCTGGTACAGTGTGATTACTGGGCGCACCTGTCACTTGGAATCTCTACCTGGGAGGTTATACAAAATCCACCAAATTGACCCATTCCTGCAGCAGTATTTTGGGCTGAGCTGTGTCCCCCTAAAATCCACATATTGAAGTCCTAACCCCAGCCCCCCCTTAATGTGATTGTATTTGCAGACAGGGTCTTTGAAGAGGAACTAAAGGTCATTTGGGTGGACTCTACTTGGATATGACTGGTACCTTCATAAAAGCAGGAGATTAGGACACAGCCACACACAGAAGGAAGACCATGTGAAGATAAAAGCAGAAGGTGGCCATCTATAAATTGAGGAGATAACTCTTAGAATAAAACAACCCTGCTGACACCTTGATCTTGGACTTCTATGCTCCAGAACTGGGAAGAAATAAGTTTCTGTTGTCCAAGTTACTCCATCTGGGATACTCTGTTATGGCAGCCCTAGAAAACCAACAGACTCCTTTGTTTTATTATTCAAAAATATATTTGGGGCCTTTATACAACTTAAATTTGCATTAGGATTTTGAGAAAACAAAATCACCTGCAACACCAAATCTACCAAATAAAATTCATTCAGTCATTCAACTTCTATTCCTTTCCCACAGCTGTATTCTCTGCTTACCCCCCAACCCCCATGCCTCCAATTACTATGCTGTGGCTTATCCTCCTGTTGCTCTTTTAACTGAAATACCCATGAGCACTGAACAGACCCCAGCACATCCACTGTGGCACACTACATACAGCTTTTGTCATCTTGCCATTTTTATTTTAGGGCATATTGATGATGACACTACAAAATTTCAAGTATATCCTAAAGCTACAGTAACAAAATATGGTCTTAGCATGAGAATACTTATACAGATACTAGAAGAAATATCTAGAAACAAACTCACACATAAGAGGGTGAGTTGATTTTCAACAAAGAGGCCAGGGTAATACAGTAGAGAAAATGTGCCTTTTCAAGAAATTATGCCAAAACAATTGATGTTATATGGAAAATAATTAACTTTTATTCTTTCCCCAGGCCACATACAAACATTACCTTGAAATGGATCATAGACCTAAGTGTAGGTTTCTGCCTACAACTTCTAGAGTAAAACAAAACATTTTTGCAACCTTGGCATAGACAAAGAATTCCCATATTAGAACAATAGCAACAACAACAACAAAAACCCATGAAGGGTTTAAAAAATAACTTACTTAATTAAAACAAAATATTTGTTATTCAGAAGACACTGTAAGAAAAAAAAAGCCAGACTAAGAAAAAATAGTGAATATTTTATGCAATAAAGTTGAAAAATGAAACAACTTGAAATATAGCAACGTGGTTCCATTTGCCTGGAGATGATATTCCAATGAAGATCCTCACAAAGCATAAAAAGATGGTGTGTCTGGTGGAGCTCTGATTTTCTATATCCCTGGATAGGAAAAATGTGTGTGTGTGTATGTGTGTGTGTGTGTGTGTGTATGTGAGAGAGAGAGAGAGACCCCCCATCCGTAGTCAAAATAATGCCCCTACAAAGATAACCACATCCCAGTCCTTGCAATCTGGAAATGTTACACTAAATGGCAAAGGAGAATTAATGGTACAAATGGAATTAAGTTTGTTAATCAGCTCACTTAAAAATAAAGAGATTATCCTGGCTTATCAGAGTAGAGCCAGTGTAATCACAAAGATCCTTTAAATGTGGGAAAAGAAGGCTTTTTAGAAGAGTCAGTGTCAGACATTGTGATAAGAGGAAGACTTGACTTGCCATTGCTGGCTTGGAAGCTGGAAAGGCACCATGAGATCAAATCTGGGGGCATCCTCTAGCATCAGGAAAAGCAAAAAATGAAAAAGAAAAAAATTCTTCTCTAGAAAAATATTAAAATATCTAGAATATATTCAATTATGTATTAACATTTCTGTAATGTGGTACCGATGAAGAAATGGACAGATAGGCAAATTGAATAGAAAAACAATATATAGTCTCAGATGCATGTGCAAATTTAGCATGTGATAAAGGCGGTATCTCAGTTAAGTATGGAAAAAGATATCTTTGTAAAGGAGGTGCTGGGTTAATTGGATATCAATCAGGACAAAAATAAAATTATGTTCATACATCATAGTGATACTAAGAGAAATCCCAAATGGGCTAGAGGTCTAAATATAAAAAGCAAAATGATGGAAAGAATTGTGAAATCTAATGCCTGTTAGTAGTGGAAGCCTTTGCTAACTGTGACTCGAATTCCAGATGCAGTTAATCAAAATGTTGTTAAACCGATTACGTGTTTTTTAACTTAAGAGGAGTAAAATGTTATATGAGAAAAATAATTGCAATTATATATGAAGAGTTAATATGCTTAATAAACAGTTTCTAAAAATAGAGAAACAGTCAATAACCCTGTAGGAAAAATAGGACAATATAGACAAAACACAGAAAAAAATTGCAAATGGCCCTTACTGCAGTCCTGTTTCTAGAAATCACTTATAAAGATACACTTTTTTGTCTGTATTATCCAAAGCAACCTACACATTTAATGCAATCCCTATTAAGATACCAACAGCATTTTTCACAAAAGTAAAACAAACCATCCTAACAATTTTAGGGAGCCATAAATGACCCCAAAGAGCCAAAGCAATCTTGAAAAAGAAAAGCAAAGTTGGGGGCGTCGCAATTCTCGACGTCAGGTCATGTTACAAAGCTTTAGTAATCAAAACAGTATGGTACTGGCACAAAAAGAGACACATAAATCAATGGAACAGAACAGAAAATCCAGAAATAAACCCAGTTAAAGTCATTTAATCTTCTACAAAGCAAGAAAAAAAAATCCAGTGGGAAAAAGTCTCTTCACAAATGCTGTTGGGAAAACTGGACAGCAGCATGCAAAAGAATGAAACTAGGCTACATTTTTACACCATACACAAAAATAAATTCAAAATGGATTAGCAGCCTGAGCGTGAGACCATAAAAATCCTAGAAGCAAGCACAGGCCGAAATTTTTTCAAATGTAGTCTTTTTTTAAAGCCACATTGGCTATTTCCACTGAACAGAGAGCCCACTACGTATACAGTGTAGATACTTCTTGATGGTATCTACAAAAATGCCTGCGAGGCTTTTGACTGGAATTGATTTGGATCTAGAGATGTTTTTAAGTAAAACTGATACCAATATTGAGCCTTTCAAACCATGAGAATTTTATCTCTCTCTACTTATTATACCATTTTAAATTTCTCTCTACAATGTTTTGTAGAGTTAAGTGTGGCACATATTTTGTTAAATTTCTTATTTTTCTATTACTGTAGTGGGTATTGTTTTTTAATTTCAATATGTATTGTTCCTGTCATATACAAACCAGTACAAGTAAATTTTGTACATTGTTCCTGTCCCTGCAACCTAGCTAAATTCACTTATTGGTTATATAAGTTTTTCTTTAGATTTCCTTAAGAAATTTTCATACAAAGTTATGTCATCCATGAGTAAAGACTGTTTTCCTTATTCCTTTCTTTTTTAAAAAATTCACTTTTTTATATAAATAACAGTATAACAGAATTCATTTTATATAAATGATTTTATATAAATTTATATAAAATCATTTATATAAATAACAGCATAACAGAATTCATTGTTTATGTTCCTTTCTAATCACTGTGACCTCTATTACTTTGAATTGTCTTATACAATGACTAAAACTTTTGTTACACTGAAGAACAGTAGAGATAAGAATAGAAATCTCCATCCTGTTGCTGATCTTGAGAAATCATTCAGTCTTTCACCATTAAGTATGATGTTAGTTGAAAAGTGTTATTATACATTCTTTAATAGGTTAACAAATGTTCTCTTCTATTGGTATGCTGCTGAGAGGTATTAGCAAGAAGAACTGTTGAATTTTTCTGGATTTTTTTCTGCATCTACTTATATAGTTAGATTCTCTTTAACCATTTATTTGGTTAATGAAGTAAACTACATCATTTGGTTTTCATAAAGTTGAATCAACTTTAAGTCACATTGCTGGATTTGGTCTGCTAATATTTTCTGGTGGAATTTGTGTATATGTTCCTAAGAAATACTGATGTTAAAGAGTGTGTGTGTGTGTGTGTGTGTGTGTGTGTGTGTGTATTGTCTTTGATTTTAGTGGTATAATTTTTCACTGACAAAATGATTTATGAAAAGACTTCTCTCTTTTTTAAAGATTTTGTAAATGAATGTGTTATTTTTGCTGTAAAAATCTGTTAGGTTAACCAGGGAATCAAAGTTTATTTGAACTGGAAGAAAAATTCAGTAAACAATGTCAATTCCTTTATTCCTAATTTTGGTATTAAAACTTCTATTTTTCTTTTTAAAAAGATTTTATATATTTATTTGAGAGAGAGAGAGAGAGAGCATGCACATGAGCAGGGGGAGGGGCAGAGGGACAAGCAGATTCCCTATTTAGCAGGAAGCCCTTTGTGGGGCTCAATACCAGGATCCTGAGATCATGACCTGAGCTGAAGGCAGATGCTTAAACCAAGCCACCCAGGCACACTTATCTGTTCTTGTGTATATTTTGGAAATTTTTATCTTTCAGGAAATTTGTCCAATTCACCCA